CACACACACACACACACACACACACACACACACACACACAGATAAACGGCGGGCGATAGTGTACTTTTGTCATTTTCTGTCTGTTAGCAAAATATATCATGAACCGCTGGACACATTTTAATGAAACTGTCAGAAACGAATCATCGGATGCACAACTACAACTGATTAACTTTTGCAGCCAACAAGATTCAAAATGGCCTCCACAGCCAGCTAATTTAAAAAAACACTWAAATAACTATAACTCTGTCAGTTTTATAAATTTCAGGCTAAAATGTGGTGCGGTATGAGCTGACACTGATCCTCAWCACATATTTAGAGCACTAACTGATTGCTCAAAATCTGCTTAAAATATTTGCCATTAATTAGTCGTAGTCAGCTATGCCTATCTGTTAGCAAAATATTTAATGAACCACTGGACCGATTTCAATTAAACTCTTTTGACTAAATCAGAGGATGCACATCTACAACTGTTCAACTTTAGGAGTCACCACGATTCAAGATGGCCACCACAGCCACTGATTTAAAAAAAAAACGCCAACATGGATATAAATCAGTCAATTTTACGGACACCGAGCTAAAATTGAGTGTGGTAGTTGCTGAAAATCATTTGCATCACATACTCAAACTACTACTAGCTAGAGTAATTGTTGGATGTACAGCTGATTAACTTTTGGAGCCAAGTTGACTCAAGACAGCACGGGTTTTGTTCAGATTTGGCCAGTGGTTGATGAGATATTTTGCTAACAGACAAATGCAGACTCAAACAAAAGCATTATCGCCTGCCTTTGTGAAATACAATGAGTGGAAGCAGGTTGGATTTGGAAGAAAAAAACACAAGAGCTTCACAAAAAAAAGCACACTACACTTAATAAGAACAGAAAATAAATTCACGTTAATTTTATTTCTTTCATTAGAACCAGGCTAACGACTGACATTATTGGTTAATTAAAACATCAAAGTATTGATTCATTCTGTTTTGCTCTTGTTTACCTGTTTTTAATCATTTCTGTTGGCCTTTTTTTTTTTTGTGCCGTCTGACTCCTTCTGGACACTTTGTTCTGTTTTAGCTACATGCTGTATTGAAAACATTTGGCTCATAGGAGACTTTTAGTTTTTAAAACTTTTATGCTTTTTTGAAATATTTACTTTTATTTACAAATATTTTACCCACAGAAATCTATTGAGATCCTTAAAATTCCTTTAAAAACAAGGTTCTTAAATGAGCTTCAGCAAACATGCTTCTTATGCTACTTTTATCCTTTTTTATTTTTAGCTAGCTTTTTGTTACTTTGTTTTAGCTAAGTTTTTGCTACTTTACTACTTTTAATGTTTTCAGCCATCAATAGCTTTTAGCTAGTCATTTGCTACTTTAATTGAAGCTAACCTTTTGCTTTTCATGGCTAGCATTCTACCACATTTAGCTTCTAGACCAGCGATATGCTACTTTTTAGCTTATCTATTGCTTCTTTTAGTTTGAGGTAACTTTGCTGCTTCACACTTTGCTCATCTTGGGTTTAAATAACCTTTTTCTGCATTTAACTAGTTTTTTTCTTACTTTTAGCTTCTAGCCAGCCTTTTGCTGCATTTAGCTTTAATTACTTTTAGCTTATAGCCAGCCATTTTTACCAATTTGGGTTTTAGCTAAGCTTTTGCTGCTCTTAGTTTGCRTTTTACTACTTTTAGTTTTCAGTTAGAATTTTGCTACTTTTAGTTTTAGCTAACCATTTGCTACTTTTGTTCTCATTTAGCATGTAGCTTTCTTTTATTTCTTTTTGTGTGCTTCTTTTATCTTTACCAACTCTGTTTTAACATCTTCAGTGCTCAGCATTYCTCATATTATGATTTGATTTGGTTACTTAAAAAAAAGAAAGATTTGTTTTGTCTCAGTTTTTATCCTTCAGCAGTTTGTGGGTGGGGTCACAACTTGTCCTCCCACCCCACCGCCCGTGGCCTGGATAAGGCCCGCTCACCAGCAGTTGATGATCACTAAACAACCTCTGGATAACTAAAAAAAATCAAAAATCATCCACAGTGCGACTGAAGCGCTCTCCATGGTGCTGAACCCTGACTGTAGCTCAGTCAGAGCTTTATGACTAATACAAAGGGGTCAGCTGTTTGTGTGTGTGTGTGTGTGTGTGTGTGTGTGTGTGTGTGTGTGTGTGTGTGTGTGTGTG